CAAATTCATGGCACATTAAAAAAAACGATGGAAACAATATTATCTTTAAATAACCAACTATAAATAGCATCCCAGATTTCTACAAAAATTGTAAAAGTTGAACTCCCTAGAATTCTTCTAATGACTACAGAAGACACCAATACATAATGTAGACCTGACGACCTTTTATTTTTATATCCTACACAACTTTATTGTCAGGGTATTATAGCTTTTTGCAGCCCCAAAAGTTTGTAACGCCGCGAAATATTGGTCCTAGACCCACCTTTAAGTATACCGATCGTCATATCTCGACTAGCTAAGTCGATCTAGACATGTGTGTCCGTCCGTCCGTCCGTCCATTATAATTTGTAAACACGATACAGGCCACAGTTATGGACCAATCTTCACGAAATTTTGCATGTAGGATGGGTTCTGGCCAATGAAGACCCCTATTGTTTTTGGGAAAGATCGATTAATATTTAGGGGATGAAATGGACCAAATACTAAATTTTTGTCGGTTTTTCTGGTCGCTCCAGAGGCCGCAATTATGGCCCAAACATAGTGAAATTTTCCATGGAGAAGGGGATCAGGCCAAAGAATAAGCATTCCTGTTTTCATAAAGATCGGTCAATATTTAGTGCGTCAAATGGACCCTGACTTTTGTGTGAAAAATGACAAAATTTGTATTCTGTAGCATATATATTTACCCCTGAAGGACATAGACCCGAGAAGTTTATATTATATCCAAGAGGAGTGGTTGACCTTTAAATTAATACCAATTATATTGTTGTATGTGCTCGGATGTGGGAGTTACACCTAAATATTTACAGGTATCTCCGTATTCGTATATTATTTAGTAACCCATTATAACTCTAGAGAGAGGAACTATAGCGCTGATCGCTTTGAAATGTTCCATGAGGTTCCAGTTATGGTCAAGGACAACGCCTATAATTTTCGGTGATGATGATAATATTCGGAAAATATGTCAGTTTGAGGAAGAGTTGCTGTTTACCACTAATCGGGCAAGAGGGTGCAAATATCACGAATTATTGCCCAGGCTCGGAATATACATCCGCAGAAAATTTGAGTACCGTGGTAGTTGTGTAGGGTATCGTATGGTCGGCCCCGTCCGACTATATTGCTCCGCTCACTGGTTATAGAATACGAAGGTATTTTCAATAGAAGATAAAACATTTAATTATAAAACCTAAAGACCAATGAGTATTGAAAACCAGAAGCCTTCCAATGTCCATAAAAAACATACAATTCTATAGAGGGGGTACCATTTTCGAATACGTAGGACCCATTTTCGGAATCTATTTAGATTTATATTTTTTTAAAGTTCAAACACTTTAGGTAGCTACCAGTAGGAGTGGGTCGATAGGCTGCATCTGCGGATATTAGATTTGGAAAGTTTATTACGCGAAGTTTAATTCTTTCTAGGATCCAAGGAAAGTTTGACAAATATATTACGATTACGATGTGTGAAATTTTTACCAAATCGAATACACCATTCGCATTATAAAATATTTAAAACATTTGAAAATATGTACCCTTTGAGGGAGGAAGGTACCAGAAAAAGTGGACCAATAATTCTGACTTTCGAACATATAGTTTTTGTAAAAATATTAGATTTTGATGGGGAGGTACTACAAGGAGTGATCAGATATTCTTTATCTTCGAGGTTAATTAAGGCCTGAAAGAAACATGACGATTGCAAATTTTCAGGCTGCGTGTATAAAATATGAGTTTGAACATAAAGATGGTTAGAGGTCCCAAATCCTAAATACCCGATAAATTGGGTACCCATTTGTGGGTATTTACTATATAGAATCGCTAACACAACACCTTACAACCTATATGAGTGTTTCTGTTATCAAATCGATTTAAAAGTGGAAAGTTTTGTAATACTTTAAACGCGTGGGTAACTGGCGAACCACTTGACGCAGGCTGCCAAAATCTGGTTCACATGTTTTTAATATCAAAACGAAAATGGGTTCAGTTTTGATATAGCCCCCATATAACCGTACCTCCCGATTTTAGGAAATTTTACTTACTAAAAATTTTCTACTAGCCACACAATTAAATTGGCACAGACAGTTATCTATGGGTACCAAATATCCATGCACTTTGTTATCAATGTAGGTCTACGTCTTCTGGTAGCCCCCATACAATGGTACCCCTACCCACGTGTTTAAAATATTATAACATTTTAAATCGATTTGATAACTGAAATCCCGAAATAGGGTGTGTAAGATGTTGTATTACCGATTCAATATAGTAGATACCCAAAAAATACCCGTAAATGGGTATTTACCCTCACCATGGGTATTTACCAGGTAAATATCGGGTCTATTGGAACCAGGGATGGTCCGTATGACGAATTTTTAGGTTTTCGACTGTCAAAAAGGTGTAAACGTCGAAAACGTCATATACCTATATAAAATGTAGTAAATGTAGAAAACGTCATTTATTCGTATTAATATACCGTTATTTTCATAAATACATATTATTTTTACATATATCTGTCTGTTCCTTACATAACTAATAAAAAAAATTCTAAACTTTTTGGAGAAAATTTTTTTGAAATTGTATATGGATTTCAGTAAAGCATACGTTATTTCCAAATTCATTAATGGAAATAAATAATGGTTTTGGGTGGGTTTCCGACGTTTCTGACGTATGTAATATACGTCGAAAATGTATGTCATTTACGTCACTGTTTCTGACGGACCATCTCTGATTGGAACAGATTGAATTGAAACAGCTTTCTTAAAAAAACTTATATTTTCCTTCGTAAAATTAGGTAAATCAGCAAATGGCAAATTACTGCCACTTCGATTGGGAAATTCAGTTCTAACCTTGAAAATACCGAATGGTCCTACATATACTGAAAATGGATTGGACAATATCAAAACATAAACCATATATTTTTTACCCAACCTTTATAACATCGACAATAGGTCGTTATGAGGGCTATGACAAAACATATGTATATCAAAAATGTTCTGCGAAAAAAAAACATGTTCGATCATAAGTTTGACATTAAAAATAGCTGTCATAGTAATTTGTGATCAAAAGAAATGGAAATACCAAACAGTTACACTCAAGTTCAAATTTTTAATACCAAAAATGTCGCGTCAGCTTAGTTGTTTACCCATCAATGACATTGAGAACCCAAGATATGAAATAAGAGCCTATTTGGCTGAAAGTCGTGTTTAAAATTCTCAAAATACCGAATAAAAGGGGGTGTTCCATTTATGGGGTTTAGCCTCATTTTTGTATCAATATTGATTATGTTTTTGTGGGTAAAATTTCCCAAATACCGAAATTTTGCATATTCCTAAAAACTTAACGTTGTTGAAAATTTTTGGTAGAACGATTTGTTACCCAATGATACGTGATACTCACAGGCGGACTTCGAAACCCTAAGCACAATATTGTTTACGGAGAATATATCAAAAAATCTTTTATATGGCAGCGTTTAAAGTGTAGTGATAGTGCACTACATTTTGCACCCGTAAAACTGTTCTTCTATAGACAGAAGTCCTACGAACAGGACTTTAAAATTAGTATTTAATATTCAGAATTTGACGTTATTTCCACACACGGCTTTATGAATGAATCATGAATGTGTTCCTTTGACCTTTTATGTAAGCATTTAATATCGAAAAATAAATATTGTTTTCATATTTTGAATGCGTTCAAATTGGAAACAAATTGTATACAAATTTTAATTTCAATTCCCCTTCAATTTGTGGTCCATTATCGGTGTGCATAGGGAAACCTTAGTGTTTGTTGTTCTGAAAATAATGCCCAAAAAATAAGAGAGAAATGCATAGCAATTAGTTAGGTAAGGTGGTACAATTTAATTCATTTACTTATTTTCTAAAATAATTTATTTTTCACTTTTTTTTTTGTATTATTATTTTGTTTAATTAAATGGAACACAAAATGTTTTTGTTTTATTCGAAATGGCTTTGCAATTAAAAAAAAACTGTTATAATAAAGGCAAAGTATCATTTATCTGTCAGACCGTAATTTTGTTGTTGTTGTAATTAATAAATGGAAAATTATTTTGAAATTATACAAAATTGTTGTCTATATATGCTAATGATAATGTCAATACTGTAATTAAAACGCTATATGTTTTTGTTGTTGTTGGTTTTTATGTTTAAATGTATTTTTATGTATATGTAGGTGACACAAAACAGAAGGAACTTATTCGACAGGAGGATATTGTGCTCAATAAAAAATTAATTAATAATAAAAAAATAATTATATATGTAAGTAAGGAGGCTAGGCTGAGGAGTTGGGATCAGCTTGATTAAATTTGGATTTCAAGTGGGTCCGGTTTCACTCATCAGGTATTGTTCTAGGTGTATTTGAGTGAAAGGACCCATTATACTTTGGCTAATAAATAATAGATGACCTTAGTTTTCCTTGGCCTGGAAGTGGCTATAAAGCGAAGATAAAGTTCGGAGGATATAGGCATAGAAATCAACTCCCCAGCCCCTGATAATAACCAAAGCAATGTAATAACTTAAATTGGAAGCGCTTTTTCCTATGAATGAAAATCAAAATTACAAATAAAATTGGAAGTATATAATAAAGAGATTCCTTTTCTTTGGTTTTTACTCTTAAATGTTAAATATTAAATTTTAAATATTTTTTTCTGTTTATGTTTTGCAAAAGAAAACGTATTAATAATAAATATTTTTTTATAAGTTATAAACTAAGTGCGTTGGTTTTTGTTGTTGTTGCTGTTTTTTTCGGCTGAGTTAATTTCCGGTTTTTTTATTAATTTGTTTTTCATCATATTGAACAGGTTTTTGTAACATTTGTTGTTTCTTGGTATTTCCATAAATATTCCAAGTTCCGAATACCACCCTCCATTTCTCCGCCATCATCCTCCTCAGCATGGAGTTGTATTTTTTGGGGGTTTTTCATCTGAAGACTTGATTTCTTTGGTTTTGGATATTTTTTGCATTTGCATGATTTGGAATTTACACTTGCCGAAGTTATTCCATTTTCAGTGCTGGCTTACGTAGGAGCTCCTGCAATTTGGCCCTGGGTGCATCCACAATTAACATGTGCAATGATGAGAAATCCCAAATAATTGTAAAGTGGAAAAACATATTCGCAATGGCAATCAGATATTCGAAGAAGGCAAACCAACTGAAGGCTATGGGAAAGAAGAAAAATAAATTAGTTTGAAATAAATAAAATTGAAAAATAAAAATTAATTTTAAATGAAAATATTCATTTAAAATTAATTCTTCAGCTTCAGGTTTTTTTAAAAATACAAGTATGGATTTTTAAAGACTATATTTGAAGGTCCACAATAGGCAAGAATTCTGTGAGGAATGAATGACCTATATGGCGTGGGTTTTTATACCCTTCACCACACTGTGGTACAGGGTATTATATCTTTGTGGATATGTTTGTAACAGGCAAAAATAATCGAGATAGACCCATGGTTCCTTTTGACAATATGCATAGAATCACTTTCTAAGTCGATTAATGCATGTCCGTCGGTCCGTCCGTCCGTCTGTCCATGTTAAATTGTAAACAAAGTACAGGTCCATTTATGATCCGAATTGGATGAAATCTGGCACAGCTCTTTTGTTTGGCCCAAAGACGAACCCTATTGAAATTGGGAAAAATCGGTTCAGATTTAGATGTGGCTCCTTATATATTTCCGTCCGATTTAATGTAAATGGTGCACCAAAGTCCCTATTTATCTCTCGATTTGCACGAAATTTGGCACAGCGTAATGAATTAGGCCTAGAATGATGTGTGTTAAGTTTCCTGAAAATCGATTCAGTTTTAGATATAGCTCCCATATATATTTTCGTCCTATTAAAGTTAAGTAGTGCACCAAAGTCCCTATATATCTTCCGATTTGTACGAAATTTGGCACATCATAATGAAATAGGTATAGAATTATGTGTATTAAGTTTCCTGAAAATCGATTCAGATTTAGATATAGCTCCCATATATATTTTCGTCCGATTTAAGGTAAATGGTATACCAAAAGCCCTTAATATCTTTCGATTTTCACGAAATTTGGCACGGCGTAATGAATTATGTCTAGAACGATGTGTGTTAAATTTCGTGAAAATCGGTTCAGATTTAGATATAGCTCCCATATATATTTTCGTCCGATTTAAGGTAAATAGTATACCAAAGTCCCTATGTGTCCCTCGATTTGCACGAAATTTGGCATAACGTAATGAATTGAGTCTAGAACGATGTATGTTCAATTTCGTAAAAATCGGTTCAGATTTAGATATAGCTCCCATATATATGTTCGTCCGATTATAGGTAAATAGTGCACCAAAGTCCCTTGATATCCTTCGATTTTAACGAAATTTGGCATAACGTACTGAATTGAGTCTAGAATGATCAGTGGTGAGTTTCGGGAAAATCGGTTCAAATTTAGATATAGCTTCCATATATATTTTCGTTCGATTTAAGGTAAATAGTGCACCAAAGTCCCTTTATGTGCTTCGATTTGCATGAAATTTGACATAACGTACTGCATTGAGTCTGAAATGATGAGTAGTAAGTTTCGGGAAAATCGGTTAAGATTTAGATATACCTCCCACATATATATTTTCATCCGATTTTATGTTAATGGTGCACCAAAGTACATATATATCCTTCAATTTGAGCGAAATTTGGCATAGCGCACTGAATTGAGTCTGGAATGACTCACATTCCAGGAAACATTGACATGCAATAGTGAAGGGTATCATATAGTCGGTCCAGTCCGACTTTACTACTTTCCTTACTGGTTAAAGAATATTTTTCAAGATTGCACAATACCGAGGCCTGTTAAAGAATATTTCCTCAAGGTCCACTATATTTTTCAAGGACAGAAGGCGAAGATTTTTAAAGAATATTTTTTTAAGGACTCCCATAAGGCGTGGATTTATTAAAGAATATGTTTGCAAGGGTTACAACAGGCGTGAATTTTTTGAAGAATATTTTTCCAAGGGTTACAACAATGGTTATGGTTTTCAAGGGTTAGCCGAATATTCCCACGCAGTTGCGGTGATTTTCAATATAGTTCCATTTTCTAACCCAGCCCCCATATAAAGTTTCGCCTAATTTTCTGTAAGCGAACTCTTAATTAACACATCCCAATAATATCCACATCGAATTACAATTCCGCAAGTTCTCCTTCTCTCTCCCTCAACTTACCCAAAACGTGACAATAGAAACGATGCTTGGCAAAGAATATCAACAGGCCAATGGTACTTAGAATCGACATTGCAAACAGGATTTTCTTCCACTTGATTGAGTCCCGCTGTTTTTGTGATAGTTCAGTGTGGTCTTCATGGATGGCGCCATTCAATTTAATGGTGGCCAACATATGGCACAGCGAACATACCATAAATGTAATGAAAATCCGCTCATGAACAGCTGGAAAAATAAATAAAATTAATATCAAACTGCTTTAAAAAAAGGATTTCAACACTCACGATAATTCTCCCGATTCGATACATAGGTGACACCGCCCAACGATGCTATCTCAATGCAATTCAATATCCATATTAGTGTCACCAGTCCACCCAATTTGCCCACCTTTTCGGGTCGTTCCTTTTGCAGTTTGGCCAACATACTGCGATAATAGTTCTTGTACATGAACGCTATGGGTATACGTGGACCCAGATGTAAGGCAATGCTAAAACGCCAAAAATAACGTTGAGGACTAACACCGGTAATTGCACTTATTGAGGGTACAATATTGTAAACCTAAAGGGAGGTGGGGCGTGAAGGCGATATTAGAGAATTATAATGGACCTGAAACTGATTACGAAACTTACGCGACAATGTGTCTCATGTACGTCATCATATTGGAAGACATAGGCTGTAACGAAGCATGTAAATAATGTTGCCAGGGGCAAGAGGGCTGTTACCACACAGATCTGATGAAAACTTGTAAAAAGGTGTACACCAATATGGAAATCGTTTGTTGCGACTTGTGACTGTGAACAGGAGGAGGATGTTGGTGTTGATTCTTTGTAGGGCTGAAATAAAAAATATATATAAAAAATAGAGCAGTTAGAAAAATATATGAGAAACTCAGGAAAATATAAAAAATATTCCTAAAACATATACGTCTGGGTTGGGCATTGAAACAATATTATTAAAACCTCCACGCTTGGGTAAGGCCTTGATAAAAATGATTTAAAACATCCACACTTGTAACCCTTTAAAAATTCCACGCCTGTTGTAACCCTTAAAAAGAAAGCCTTTAAAAAATCCACGCCTGTTGTAACCCTTAAAAAAATATTCTTTAAAAAATCCACGCCAGTTGTAACCCTAAAAAAATATTCTTTAAAAAATCCACGCCAGTTGTAACCCTTAAAAAAATATTCTTTAAAAAATCCACGCCTGTTGTAACCCTTAAAAAAATATTCTTTAAAAAATCCACGCCAGTTGTAACCCCTAAAAAAATATTCTTTAAAAAATCCACGCCTGTTGTAACCCTTAAAAAAATATTCTTTAAAAATCCACGCCTGTTGTAACCCTTAAAAAAATATTCTTTAAAAAATCCACGCCTGTTATAACCCTTAAAAAAATATTCTTTAAAAAATTCACGCCTTGTATAGACCCTTGAAAAAATATTCTTTAAAAAATCCACGCCTTGTATAGACCCTTGAAAAAATATTCTTTAAAAAATCCACGCCTGTTGTAACCCTTAAAAAAATATTCTTTAAAAAATCCACGCCTGTTGTAACGCTTAAAAAAATATTCTTTAAAAAATCCACGCCTGTTGTAACGCTTAAAAAAATATTCTTTAAAAATCCACGCCTGTTGTAACCCTTAAAAAAATATTCTCTATAAAATACACGCCTGTTGTAACCCCTAAAAAAAATATTCTTTAAAAAATCCACGCCTGTTGTAACCCTTAAAAAAATATTCTTTAAAAAAATCCACGCCTGTTGTAACCCTTAAAAAATATTCTTTAAAAAATCCACGCCTGTTGTAACCCTTAAAAATATTCTTTAAAAAATCCACGCCTGTTGTAACCCTTAAAGAAATATTCTTTAAAAAATCCACGCCTGTTGTAACCCTTAAAAAAATATTCTTTAAAAAATCCACGCCTGTTGTAACCCTTAAAAAAATATTCTTTAAAAAATCCACGCCTGTTGTAACCCTTAAAAAAATATTCTTTAAAAATCCACGCTTGTTGTAACCCTTAAAAAAATATTCTCTATAAAATACACGCCTGTTGTAACCCCTAAAAAAATATGCTTTAAAAAATTTACGCCTTGTGTGAGTCCTTAAAAAATATTCTTTGAAAAAATTCTTTAAAAAACCCACGCCTGTTGTAATCCTTGAAAAAATATTCTTTAATATTCAGAACCCTAACAATGCGAACATTATTAACATTCGAAATATTTGCTTTCAATCCATCCTCTGCTACTTATGCTCGACATGCCTTGAAGAATATTCAAATATAACCATGACCCACATTCCTGTGATAACAAAGATGGCATCTGGTGATTATGAACGACTTAACATTCTTGCACAAAAATTATCCTTCAAGTGGGAATCCTTCTATTTCACGAGGACTTCGAGGATGGGAAGAGCGATGAAAATAATAGAATGCACAAAAATATGTCACACCATTATCAACACATGTTTATGACTTTTTATTATATTCACAATGGAAGGAAGAAAAGACCAAAGAAGACTAGGAAAATGCCGCCAATACAAAAGATTAAAATAGAACAAAAAAATAAATAAAGTCAAAGAGATGGGGATGCTTTACAAATTAAAACGGCAATGCCATTTGGGAAAAGGTGTAGCGGACTGGTCAGGATGGATGATAATGCGCAATGGAAGCATTTCGGATAACACAGGACAAACAACAAAAGTGGAAAAGATGACATTAGAAAATACAAATGTTACAGTCAAACAAAGATGGGGTTGATACAAGTGTGGACATATCCTTTTCTAATGAATGAACGTAATATGCCGTATTTGTATAAATGCATGTGTGTGTGTTAGAATGACAGAGAAAGGATGAATGATGGATAAGCAGAGAAAGCACAAGCTTAATGACCCTTTACGAGGGATATAAAAATAATTAGGGAATTTCGATATGTGACAGGAGTGGATTTTTTTTAATATTATTATTTATGGGTCCAGATTCGTGTAATTTTTTCATGAATATTTTTTCAAGGCCTTAAAAGAATATTTTTAAAGAATATTTTTCAAGGCCAACTGAGGCGTGGATTTATTAAAGAATATTTTTCAAGGGCCAACTGAGGCGTGGATTTATTAAAGAATATTTTTCAAGGCCAACTGAGGCGTGGATTTGAGGCGTGGATTTATTAAAGAATATTTTTCAAGGCCAACTGAGGCGTGGATTTATTAAAGAATATTTTTCAAGGCCAAACCAAGGCGTGGATTTTTTAAAGAATATTTGTTCAAGTCCTAACATAGGCTTGGATTTTTGAAAGAATATTTTTTTAAGGCCCGATTTTTTGAAGTCCTAACATAGGCATGGATTTTTGAAAGAATATTTTTTAGGGCCCGATTTTTTCAAGTCCTAACATAGTCATGGATTTTTGAAAGAATATTTTTTTAGGGCCCGATTTTTTCAAGTCCTAACATAGTCATGGATTTTTGAAAGAATATTTTTTTATGGCCCGATTTTTTCTAGTCCTAACATAGACATGGATTTTTGAAAGAATATTTGTTCAAGTCCTAACACAGGCGTGATTTTTTTTCAAGATTTTTTTTTTCAACACTTAACGCAATAAGAGATGATGGTGGTATAGAGTGTTTTCCACCTAGCCAAGATGAGGCCATAAAAGCAATTAATCGGCTCAAGAACAATAAAGCAGCAGGAGCCGATGGGTTACCAGCCGAACTATTCCAGACCGGTGGTCAGACGCTGGTCAGGAGCATGCACCAGCTGATTAGTACAATTTGGCTAGAGGAATGCATGTCCAATAATTGGAACCTCAGCATCCTGTGTCCCGTGCACAAAAGAGCAGACAAGACGATATGTGTCAACTATAGAGGAATTAGTCTAAAGTGCTATCCAGTGTGCGGTGTGATCCAGTGTGATGCCAATGGTCAATGACATTATTGGACCATACCATACCTGGAAAATACATCATTGACCAGATTTTCACTCTGCACCAAATCATGGAAAAAACACGCCATGTCTACGTTCGATAAACGCCATGTCTACGTTCGGCATTCCTGCAAAATTAATACGGTTATGCCGGATAACTTGAAGTGGCACAAGGTTAAAGTCGAAAAGGGCATATCGGAGCCCTTCAATACCGAACGATGATTCAGACAAGATGACAGTTTGTCGTGTGATCTTTTTAACATCCTGCTGGAAAAAGGTCATACGAGAGGCAAATGTGAACAGAAATGGCACTCTGTACACCAAACAATACATGTTACTCGCCTATGCCGATGACATCGATATAATGGGTCGAATATTGCGAGCGGTATCAGCCACCTTTGAACAAATTGAGAAGGAGTCTGCCAAAGTGGGTCTGGCAGTAAACGACGAGAAGACCAAGCTGATGTTATCAACGCGCAAGACGTCCAGTAGACTTGGACCAACTGTGGAACTTGAGAACTACAGCTTCGAGGTAGTTAAAGATTTTATATACATTGGTACCGTCATAAATAAAATGAATGACATCAGTTTTGGGATCAGGAGCATCAGGATTGTGATGGCTAACAGATGCTACTATGGTCTAAGTAAGCAGTTTAGAAACAAGGCCACCTCCCGTTAGACCAAACTCACACTTTACAAGACGCTGATACTACCCGTGCTGTTATATGGATCTGAAGCATGGGTACTTGCGCATGCAGATAATGCAGCTCTTGGGTTGTTTAAAAGAAAAAATCTCCGAAAGATCTACGGGCCGATCTGCGTCGACGATGAATATCGGCGTTTGAATGAACCACGAGCTCTACAATTTATACGCGGACAACGACAAAGTCAGTCGTATTGAACTGCAGCGACTACGGTGGCTAGGCCATGTTGTGCGAATGAATGAGAATGCCCCAGCTCAAAAGGCATATAAAAAACCAGTAAGGAACGTATTAAAGTCGGACGGGGCCCACTATATGATACCCTTCACCACTATGGGTATATTAAACAGGACTATTAACATGAAATTGAATGAAATAATATTTGTGATATTTATCTAAATGTGAATCTACCTAGATCTATCCATAAAGTATGTAAATCGACTTCAAACAAATATAAATAGGTCATATGCTGGGCTATGTCTCTACTTCTAGAAAACGCAACTACGTAATTTTATGCTCAATTTTGTACGTTGTGTAAAATTTGATGTCAATCTAACTAACATGAGGAGTATGATGCCCAATTAACTTGAAATCGGGCGAAAATATATATGGAAGCTCTATCCAAATACTAAGCGATTTCAAGCAAACTTGTCACAGGTTAGGTTATACTAATTTCAGAACGTTTTGTTCCTATTAGTTCCTTGTTGCGTCAATTACTTAAAATCAATCTATATTAAAAGGGAGCTATATAGAAATCTGGACCGATTTTCTCGAAACTTGGCAGACATCATTCTAGGCTCAATTCAGTACGTTACGCCAAATTCCGTGCAAATCAAAAGATATATAGGGACTTTGGATTTGTTAAAAAAACTATATATTATATCAAATCTGCTTCAAATTGGCAGACATCATTCTAGACCTAAATGATTAGGTACCAAATTTGTTAAAAAATATATAGGGATTTTTAAATCGGTTAAATATATATGGGAGCTATATCTAAATCTGAACCGATTTTTCCCAATTTCAATAGGGTTCGTGGATTTGTTTCAAAAAATAAATTTTTTGTTTACAATTTAACATGGACAGACATGACAGAAGCGTGGACATGCATAAATCGACTTAGAAAGTGATTCTATGCATATTCTCAAAAGGAACCATGTATCTACCTCGTTTCCTTTTGCCTGTTACAAACATATGCACAAAGACATAATACCCTGTAGCACAGTGTGGTGAAGGGTATAAAAGAAGGCCACGAATTAGATGGAAAGACCAAGTAGATAACAACATCTTGGAGCGTGGTCTTTCAAATTGGAGGACATGCGCACAAGACCGACGCGCTTGGAAATCTTTTTTAAGCTCGGCTTATGGAAGAATCGCTCTGTAACAAGCCAGCTATGTAAGTAAAGTAAGTAACACATGCGTGGAGATAGGTGTGGATTTGTTAAAAAATAATTTTTCAAGGCTTCAGATGGGCGTGGATTTGTTAAAAAATAATTTTTCAAGGCTTCAGATGGGCGTGGATTTGTTAAAAAATAATTTTTCAAGGCTTCAGATGGGCGTGGATTTGTTAAAAAATAATTTTTCAAGGCTTCAGATGGGCGTGGATTTGTTAAAAAATAATTTTTCAAGGCTTCAGATGGGCGTGGATTTGTTAAAAAATAATTTTTCAAGGCTGGATTTGTTAAAAAATAATTTTTCAAGGCTGGATTTGTTAAAAAATATTTTTTCCAAACTTTTTCAAGGCCACAGACAGGCGTGGATTTTTTAAAAGATTTTTTTTTTCAAATTATTTTTAAGAATATTTTTTTTTTAATAAAATAAAACCTGTTGTGGATGCCGACATATATTCCTTTCTTTTTCAAGGCCACAGACAGGCGTGGATTTTTTAAAAGATTTGTTTTTTTTCAAATTATTTTTAAGAATATTTTTTTTTTAAATAAAATAAAACCTGTTGTGGATGCCGACATATATTCCCCCAACTCACTCAATCCACCCCTCGTTTCATACACATGCACAAACGCACGTAAAATGTAAACTCATGGCTGAGTAAATGGTAGTAATGCTTAAGGGTGGCAGGGGGATGATGTTGGTGGTTGTTTTTTTTTTCAAACGATGATGACAATGATGATGACTTGTTCTTCGTTTCAATTACTGAATGGCAAACAAATTTTAGCAACGTAACAAAGTTATATAATTTTAAACGATACAAAATACAGATTTTTTCAAAACTTACCTCATTTGTGGTGGTTTCAATTAGTTTTGTATTCTCTGTATCGGCCTTATCGGCATCTTGTTGAGCTGATGATGTTTTCGATTTTGTGGAATCTTTTAGATTTGTACTGCTGCTACTGCGGTTGCCGCTGTCCGTTTTGGAAGTAATACGTTTGCCACTGGTCACACGTGAATCACTCATGATTTTTAATTAATTTTTTTATTATTATTTTGAAATTGAAAATATTATTTAATTGCAATTTGATGCAAAAAACACAAACTATCTCTCTTCCTGTGATCCGTACACACGCAAATTTTCGTTCAAAAATGAAAATCTTACGCTCATTCACTCACTCGCGCACACACACACACACACATTTGCCAACAAACACCCACGATAGATTTTAGGACATTTTCCACTTTTTTGTTTCTTTTTCGTTCCGTTTGTTTTTTGCGTTCTCTTTCTATCTCTTTATACTAAGTTTACCGTTCTGCTTCTTCGTCCTTTTTTGTTTCCTTCTCTTCGTATTCTTTAATTGATTATATAAAAATGTATTTTTAGCAAGCCAATGGGAAAATGTGGATTTTCTGATTCCTTTCTTTTATATTTTGTAAGATTTTCTTATTTTTTTTTTAATTTTCAAAACATTCGGTTTTATTTTTTCCTCTTTATTTCTTTTGTATTTCAAAGGTAGTTTGGTTTTGTGAGTATTTCCTTAAAATTCACAATAAATTTTATTTCACACACAAATTTTGCTCGACGCAGTACCGTTGCGATGTCGTGACTTTTGCAAAGGAACCAGGACTAAAATGTCATAGAATAACGGTAAAAAGGACATGTCAATAAGATATGCTGATTTGATAAATAGGGTTGCCAATGTTGGATATATTGGAAGTAATTCCGTGTATGAAATTGAAATGTAGATGGCGTTATAATGAAAAACTGTGATTAGAGTACAGTGAGGTGTAAAATTATTTCGAGATTTATATGCAAAAGATCATGCAAACTAAATTGAAGCCGTAACGAAAAAATCTATATTTCACATTATTTTGTAATTTTTATGCATAATTATAACCACTGCCTTATGGTTATGTAATGATGGTGTATATACATTTCGAAACGATAAAAAATATGCTTCGTCGAATTTTCGGTTTTAGACACTATAATTCTTTGATTCAAATCCATTTCAGATATATTTGGAGTCGATATAGAAATTTCCGTCCATCTTACGGGCGCTGCTCACAATAACACTCGAAAGAAGTTAACGTTTCAGTCCAAACGTCGAAATATTGCTGTCAATTTTAAATCAAGTTTGAAAATAGCAAATATAGGTTCACTTCTTCTGGTACCTTCCACACAAAATAGTCAAAATTTTGTCAAAAAAAATAATTTTTTAAATATTGAAATCTGAGTATTCAATTTCCTCCAAGAAATATATGTACAGGATGAGATGAAAAAAAAAACTGCAACCAACTTCAGACTGTTGTCATTTCTAAGCCACAGCTGTTAAAATTATTCGAGTGACAGCTCATTATATTGTTTACAAGCGTACAAATAAATTTTTACCATCGCTCGTTACTGTGATACTGTTAGCGTAGCCCGATGTCAAGGAAGTGGACGGAAGAAAACAGGAACGTCAGCACAAATGTTTCATAAAGTATAGAAACGACTTGATCGAAACACGCGTCGCAGTGGCCGAAAAATGGCTCGTGAACTTAACATATCGCAATATTCCAATCGGAAAATATTGAAAAATGAGCTCGGGGTAAAGTCATTGAAATTCCAAAAAGTGCAAGAACTTACGCCGCAACAGAAAGAAAAGGACTCAAAAGAGCAAAAGAGGCCGAAATTGTTGAACTGCCGAATTTGGGTTTCTCCGATGTAAAAACATACGCAAAATGATTCAAACAAAATGATCGTGTTTCGGTTGGCCAACAGGAAACGGGTTGGCCAATAGGAAATCAAGTGCCGGCCAGGGTGATGGTGTGGGCCGCCATAACAGCCAATAATCGCTCCCCGCTCGTATTAATCGACAGTTGCATCACAATAAATGCCGAATATTATCGTGAAAATATTCTGGAGGGTGTATTAAAGCCTTGGACACGCAAACATTTTGACCGCAGACCTTGGACACTCCAACAGGACTCAGTACGTATGTGTTCATAACAGAGATAGAAGTTTCCAAAACATTTAACTTTTTCTGCTTAAACCGCGATTTTTGTGCTAGGCTAAGAACTTTCCGAACTGCCCTCGTAATGTGAAACCAGTGAAATGTGTCTGTATTCCTAAACACAAATCAAGTTTATATTATTTTACTACTAGTCTATACAGCTAGAATTTCGTATCTAGACATACAACTCGAGTCGATAGTCTAAACGTGCCTTAAATCCACTCAATATCTCTATTTAATTCAAATCCTATGCTAAATAGAGATAATCTCAAATACAGGCTTGCATTGGCACCAAAAGTAATAACTTCCCTAAAAGTACACTTGAAAATACGTAAATAAATTTAAAAATTTGCAAATACTGAAAAATTAAACAAAAATGTTTAATTGATAATGAATGATAATATTTTTAGCACAGTGGGTTTTAATTGTAATTTCATTGGATCCTCATAAAGATAGTGAACCCGGTAAAAACATCTCGTTTTATGGATTTTTGAACTTAAGGGCTAAGCAGAATGCTCGCGTTGAACCATACGTCGCGTTATGTGTTATCGAAAATACAACACCCACAAGGAAACGATAACACCAACGCTTGAGTTTGATGTGCGCTGCGCTGCGGAGTTAAATTTTTTTTTTACTTTTTGCGTGCGTTAACGCGAAAAACGCCCTTTATAAAATGCACTTTGTATTGACAATCGAACGAGAGTGTGAACAGTGTCCACCTGCAGCTGACATCAATCCAAAGTCGACTTGTAAATCCCTACACCAATCGATCGATTATCAATCATATCATAATCGATTACACCAAAGTCGACTTACAAATCCCTTTTCTTCCCCAGCAGACAATACTCGTTTTTGGTTATGCAGTAGAAATTGAAATCATAACAGTCGAAAAACTCAAGAATATCACATAAAAATAATTGTAAAATATTTAAATTATGAATAATTTAGCGAAACAACTGTGTCGCCTCAACATTAGCCATGGAAATCTAATTAAAAATCAAAGCAACCTATTGGCACGGATATCCCCTGCAGTGGTAGCAGCAGGAACGGCCGGTTTTCATACATCAAATGCGCTGGGGGCACGATACAATAAACATAATACGGGACCTCAGAAATGGCTGCAATACAATAAAATTGTACATCCACCCCAGGCACCCGAAGAAGAACCAAGAAAAGCGGTAAGTGTGTGTGTGGGGGAGGAATGCTGTTACAAAAGGAGGGAATATCATCCCTCTATAGATCATGTTGATCTTCATTTGGGGTTGCTGTTGTTGGTGTGTTAATAGTTTTTCTTTTTTTATATTTTTAGTATGTCTGTCACATGAGAACAAATATTAAATACAGTCCCGATAAAATGTGGTATATTGCCTCCTTTGTACGTGGCATGTCCGTAGATGAGGCCCTTAAACAATTGAATTTTGTTTTGAAAAAGGGTGCCGTTGATGTCAAAGAAGTTATTCAGGAGGCAGTTGAAATGGCCCAAAAACGACACAATGTTGAATACAAAAGTAATCTGTGGATTGGTAAGGACATGCTTTGAATTTATAATTCTCAGATACTAATTAATTTTTTTTCTATACTTTCTTTTCTTACAGCCGAATCTTTTGTCGGCAAGGGTCGCGTTATTAAAGGTTTTCGCCGCCATGGTCGTGGTCGTTTTGGTCTAGTAGAATATAAACATTGCCACTATTTTGTACGCCTAGAAGAGGGTGAACCACCAAAGGATTATTATCTGCCCAACCCGCAAACACCATCGGAACAATTTGAAAAATGGTTGGAACAAATGCGTATGCGTAAAGTTATCAATTCACTGTAGTCGACGAATAACATGTGTGTACAAACTTTGTAGTAATTTCTTTTTTAGTAAATATGTATTCTGAATTTTATTGTGTTCGAAATGTGATTTTGCGTTGTTATTTGAAAAACACAACAAAAACATTGGTTAACAACACTACAGCGAAAGAGGTTGGAAAGTGGGCCAAAATTTCCGATTCATAGAAAAAGGTTGTCCAAGGAGAATTTGTAACGATCAGGGCACAATAAGAATTTCCAAAGTACAAAATCTCAAAAAGGACGTTTAAAAACCCAGTAACCGTTCTGTATCATCATAGATGGCGGGCTATGGAAAATGGTGCCAATTAGATTTTAAAACGAGCCAAGGAATCCATAAAATAGCGAATAATGGGGGTACCGTAATATGGGGGCTATCCTAAAAAGCAGACCGATGTCTATATTTTTTGGTAGGGAGATTTGCTATTCAAAAAGTACCAAATTACTTGCCAAAAATCTCCAAAATACCGACATTTCGGAAGTACCGCTATATATGGGGGCTACACCAAAACGTGGACCGATATATCCCAATTTCAATTCCAAACATCCTGTGAGTAGTAATAACAATGTATATGAAAAATTTCAATGCTCTAAAATATTCCGAGCATGATTTCAACAGATGGAAAGCGCCTATTTCCATGAAATTACCTGGGCCGATTAGATTCATTTTAAATACCAACTTTATGTGAGCAGTAGCAATGGATTGGCGAAATAAATATTGAAAGCTCTATCGTCATTTTTACAGAAAGGCGGACTACTTAAAATTTACTTTGAATTTTAGTACGAAGAATATTTGCAAATAGAATTATTTATAGTGTGGGTATAACAATTGGATAAAAAATTCCGATCAAATCATACTTTTATTCAAAATAAAAGAAGACAAAAAAATAATAATAATTTCAAAATTAAGAACTAAATATCAAAGTCAAAATAAAATTGAATTCAGTGGCATGCAAAAAAGTTGCATTTTCAATATGAAATTTTTTTGTAAATATTCAGGTACATTTATTCAAGATAATGCTGCATCCAAACTCGATTGTAGTACATAATTCAAATCAGCAGTATTAAGATCACTCTCAATATTTCCGTTCATTTCAGGACCCTGATCCATGGATTCATTTTCCGTAGAGTTTTTGATGGAAGCTCTATTCTTTTCAGTTCCAACTTCCATAGAAGTCGTTTGCTCCTCAAAATTTTCGGTTTCCTTTACCAAGGAGGTCTTGGCATCACTCCTCTGATCACCACTAACATCAAATTCAGAACATGAATCCTCGACATGTTGCTCCTCTATCAATTGTTGAGCTACCTCAGCCAAAGCTTCAGTGTCACGATTTTGTAAACGTTTATTTAACTCAGTACCTGCACTGATACCCGTAAGCTTTGCAAGATTCGAAATCTTGGGAACGCCAGCGTCTTTACGTTTTTTACGTTTATTCGTTTTACTTTCCTTCTTTTTCTTATTTGCCATTAATACATGATCTCTTTGCACATGCTTTTGAAGATTTTGCAATGAACTAAATTCTCGTTTACAATCCACCTCGGTACATTCAAATTTCTTTCCCTCGTGGCTTGTTGTAATGTGTTGGCGAAGATTTCTTTCATAGGCATAGCTGCGATCACATCCCTCGTAGTGACATTTATATTCCCCAGTTTGGGTTTGGTTTTCCCCTTCGGCCATATGTTTAGCAGCAACATGTTTTTGTAAATCACTCGGCTTAACATAGGCACTCTCACAGTATTCACATTTGTAATATTTACATGTATGCTGTGTTTCCTTACAGTGCTTTTGAAACAGGGTCCATTTTTCGAATTTCTTATGACACGTTAGACATGGATATATTTTACATGACTCTTCATGTTTCTCCCATTGCCATTTCTGATAGAAACCTTTCGAACATTTCTCACAAGTGTGAGGATAAATGCCGGTATGTTTGCTGATTTCATGTCGTCGCATTTTCAATTTTTGACTAAATTTCATTTCACAAAATTGACATTTGTATACCTTGGGATTCTCATGCACTTCGCGTATATGGCGATGCATATTCGTTAAGCTGGTGAACATTTTGTCACAGGTATCAACCTCACAGGGTATTGTTTTATTCGGCACATCCACCTTCCGTTCGTGGGTTGTCCGTATGTGCCGCTTAAGATGTGTCAGTATGGAATAGATTTTGTCACATCCCTCAAAATGGCAAGCATGCTTTTTCTACAAATTAAAAACAATTTTTTGATCATTATTTAAAATCTATCATAATCTAATGTGATATCCTACTGCTCCATACTTACAATTCCCGTGTGTTTATATTCATGTCTGTCCAAATGATCCAAACGCCGAAATGTTTGTTTACATCCCTCAATCGAACAGATGTATCTTTCGGCAACACTATTGCGTCTTGACTTGGGTTTTTCTACTTGCAGTGAGATTACACTCTCCAAATCACTGTCAGAATTCAGTGGGCCACCAGGCGGCATTTTTGGAATAATATTAGTTATTCCTTTATATTTAATTATAATTTATTTTATTTTAACTTTAAATGGAGTAAATAGCTGATTGATAAATGCGTTGCTAAATCCATTCAGGGGTCTATAAATCGAAATGCATCATTAATATTACAAAGTCACATTACGAATTATTGGACGCCGTACATTAGATTAAGCTGATTTAAGGCGAGTATACACTATCAGTTTGAATTGCCCTTTTTATCGATTATTGACATTGTGGACAAAAAACTTCTTTGCTGAGCAGTTTTAAAATAGATTCAAGTTTGTTCGTAGAAACTATTGTACAATAATACAAAGTAGGACAACACGAGGTGAATAAAAAACATACGCAACAAATAGTTGTGTTTATTTGACATTTTTTAATGAAATGAATAAAATGTTATGATTTCTTCCCCAAATCCAGTAGGAATACCATGAAATATTTGTTTCATCCATAAAATTGCAGACGGACGCGATAAAAAAAAACAATTTCATTTCAATTTCAAATTAATTTATTGAATATGGTATTCAAAACAATACACTAAATATGTATTTTGATTTTTGATCAGTAATCAGTTGGTTGCTATGAGGGGCTCATGTACCGGGGTAGGCTTTAAATAACCGTAACGCCCAAAGTTCAGTATTTTGAATCTTCTGACACGATTTTCATAAGCAGAAAATGTTCCCGTCAATATTAGTCCACGTTTTAGTGGATCCCTCCATTAAACGGTAACTGCAAAATTCGGTATTTTGGGGAGACACGGTTTCCCATGAAATTGACTGTAATTTTATATCGGTCATTATTTTGGTATAGCTTGTATACCATCCATGGTACAATAATACAAGGTAGGACAGCTTGAGGTGAATAACAATAACTACTACTACAACTATGCACGTGTGGCTTCTTCTGTCAAAAATAAAATAAATATACGCAACAAGTGTTTGTGTTTATTATGCATTTTTTAAACATAAAACTAAAAACGCGGAAAATGAATGAATGGTTATAATTTCTTCCCAAAATCCTGACGAACGTGTTAAAAACCATAATTTTCATTTCAATTAAACTTGAATGTATTTCAATTTATTTCAATTTTTTTGGACATAGTATTCAAAACAATACACACACATATACAAAATATGTACATTGATTTGATGGAACATGCCACCTTGAGAAAAAATTGTAATCAGTTGGTAGCTGTGCCCTACCTTGTAATGATTACACCATGATACCATCTGAAAGTAATGGCCAAACAGCTCCGGTTATACCAATCCACCATATGGAGCTTCCTGCTCTACTCTATTTCAAAATTTTAAACATGGAAGGAAAGCTTTCTCAACGTCCCCTAACAACGTGGCATGATTGCCTGTATCAAAGTCTTTTGATAAGCCAAGCTCCACTAAAGCATTGTACACAGTATCACTTTTAAGTGACAGCCTTTTTACCGATTACTGACTGCCCAACAACCATGAATATTTTCATGGTTGCCTGATGAATGACGAACATGAGAGTCTAAATTACACACTACATTTTTTACTAAATTTTTTTGATAGTGTGGCCTCACATGTTTGTCATTCATCAGGCAACCACAAAATAGTTATGGTTGTTGGACAGTCAGTAATCGATAAAAAAGTTGACAGTGTGTACACCGCTTTAAGCGGTGTACACACTATCATTTTTGATATATGTGTGTTACTACCATGCTTTTGTGGTCCTGTTGATTATCCACACTGCAACTCAAATTTGCTGTTCCATCAAAAATGCAACATCCGCATAAAAAAAAATATATTAAAGAAAAAAATGTTATCGTAGTAAAAAATAGTAGATTCTGGCAGTACGGGAACACACCATATATGTGTGTTACTACCTGCTTATTCTGTTGATTCTCTGCAACTCATGCTGTTCGATCAGTGCAAATGGCTTAAATTTTGGATGGCATACAGATACGACAACTCATTCTTCGAAAATTGTGGATAATCCAGTATCTACAATAACATTCTATCAAAAAACTTGTATCTGATTTTTTTTTATAAATTTTCTTCGATATCATAAAGAAAAATTTGTTATCGTAGTAAAAAGTAGTATATTATTGCAGTACAAAACAATTTTTAAGTAGCAAATTTCTTTAATGAACAAATCAAAAAATAATTCGAAATTAAACAAAATATTCTCTTTCATATGTTTTTCTCCCACTGTGCAATGAATTGATAACAACGATTTTTCTGACAATCAAAAATATGACTTTTGTGTTTTGCGATAAACCGATTAGCCAAAAGTCGACTTCCAGTACCCTAATTCAAGTCGAAGGCAAAAAGGGAAAACAATAAAAAAATTGTGAAAATCTTTGCGATTTTCCCATTAAAGTTTACGTGTTAATTTCTTAAACAACTACGCGAACGAAATAAAAACCCAAACAAAATGGAATACGAAAGCGTACTCTTAGTTAAACCTGAAGTATTCATATATAAAATTCCTCCAAGAGCTAATAATCGTGGTTACAGGTAATTATTAATCGCAAAAGCTGTGCTGCAGCAGTAAATGGTGATAATGATGAGGATGATGACTGACAATGGAAAAGAAACACCACAATCCAATCGGAAATGTACATAAAAAACAAAAGAAATGTGAAAAAAGAGCGTAGTAATTTTTTAGAAAAAGGTTTAAAATATTTCAGAACAGTTGGGTTTTAAATTGAGCAAATGTGTTTGTTATATATTTGGTGGAAAAAATACGCCCTCATTTTTATTCGGTCAAAATCATACCCTTGCTGCAATTCGGTTTTTTTTGTTTTGTATAAATTTAAGAATAAATATGACGAGTGGCAGTTATTTATTTATATGTTTTTTTTTATTTGTGTGGCATTCGGTTTTTGTTTATAAAACAAAACGCTGATGTTCCACTGGCTGAAAATGCTTGCGTGTGTGGGTGTTTTAAATGTTTTCTTTTCATTTCATTTTTTTGTTATGTACATTGTTTGTTGTTGTATTCATTGTTTTACATTATTTTCCAATTTGTATGTTGCTGTTGTTGTTGTTCTTGCAGGCTTATTCTTGCAAGGTTAAACAACGTAAAAAAGTAAAAAATGAGGAAAAACCTTTTATTTCTTGTTTCATTTTGTTGTTGTTATTGTTTGTGTTACCTTTTGGTTTGTTGTTGTTGTTGCTGCAATTTAAGTTTAGTATTAATTGATTTTTTTGTACTCTTATCAGTATGTATTTTTGTTGTTGCAATTAGACATTGATGTTGCCTTTGATTGGTATTTTTTGTTTCTTATAAGGAAATGAAATTCTTACTGTCTAGTCAATTCCGATTCGAATGTGGAAATGTGTTATTAGCATTGGAATTATTATTTAAATTATGCAATTGGTCAGGGTGAGATTTTACTTTAGGGGAAGCATAATTTGTATTACAGGTAGTAATTTTTATGTAGTTCCCAAAATTCTAAGCTGCAGCCACTCATAAATTTTTGAAAATGTTACCCAATGTAGCCATTTTGATTCCGATAAGGACATTTTGTGGAAAATGCACACCTTTCTGCCTTTCATGGCTCCGACAACAAACCAAGCTGTTTTTTTTTAAATTATTTGGCCCCATGTTGTATTTAGAGACATAGTTCAGGGCATAAGTCTAGTTTAAGATCAGGTCGTGGAGGTCCATATGGTCTTACATATTGTGGAGGTCCATATGGTCTTTGATATTGGCCTTCATTTTATACCGTCCACTATAAGGTGAGTGTATATTAAATTCGTCATTCACCAATATTTAAGATAGAGCTTTGACATTTTGCACACATTGCATACATTACTATTACATCTAGGATTTTTGGTATTGAAAATGCGATATATTGGTCCAGGTTTTGGTATAGCCCCCATATAAATGTAGCCCCCAAAATTCTATATTTTGAGAAATTTTTCAATCGAATTGGCTATAATTTGGCATTTTAAATTCATATTGTTTAACACACCCTCATATCAAAAATTATCAATACTGGTCCACTTTTTAGAAGATCCCATATATGGTGGTACCTTCAAAATGTTGGTATTTTGGGGATTATTAATACTAAAATTCGTGTATCTAAAAGGTATTTTCGAGACATTGTCACAGTTGTAACACCCTTGCTATACATCTGTGGGTTGAATACCCATTATTGGACCATACCAATGAGGCTTCAGACCTGGCAAATCAACCATTGACCCGATTTTCACTCTGCGCCAAATTCTGGAAAAGAACAACGAAAAACACATAGACACATTCCATCTATTCGTCGATAAAGCCACATTCGACAGCCCTATCCGTTCAGAGGTGTTTAAAGCCATATCTGTGTTCGGCATTGCTTAATACGGCTATTCAGGATAACTTTAACTAGTACAAAATCAGCGGTTAAAGTCAGAAAGGACCTATCGGAGCCTTTTAATACCGAACGAGGATTCAAACAAGGTGACAGTTTGTCGAGTGACGAGAGGCAAAGGTGAACAGAAATGGCACTCTGTACACCAAACAACACATGTTAGTCCCCTACGCCGATGACATCGACATAGTGGGTCGAACATTGAGAGCGGGCAACAGCCACCTTTGAACAAATTGTGAAGGAGTCTGCCAATGTGGGTCTGGCAGTAAACGGCAAGAAGACCAAGCTGATGCTATCAACACGCAAGACGTCAAGTAGAAATCGGACCAACTGAGAACTACAGCTTCGATATAGTCAAAGATTTTATATACATTGATATCACCATAAATAAAACTAATGACATCAGTTTTGAAATTCGGAGAAGGATAATGTTGCCCAACAGATGATACTATTGTCTGAGTAAGCAACTCAAAAGCCAGGCCACTTCGCGCTAGACCAAACTCACACTCTACAAGACGCTGATATTACCCATGCTGCTGTATAGATCTGAAGCATAGGTACTCATATCGAATATCGCCGTCGAATGTATCATGAGTTGTACCATCTATTCTCAGATATCGGCATTGTCTGATGTATCGAGCTGCCCCGACTACGTTGGCTAGGTCATGTTGTGAGAATGAATGAAGATTCCCCAGCTCAAAAGGCATATAAAAGCGAACCAGCCGATGGTTCACGCTGAAGGGGAAGGCCAAGAATTAGATGGAAAGATGAAGTGGAAGACAACATTGCCGTACATGATCTTTCAAATTGCAAAAAAACTGCGCAAAAACCGATTGGATAGAATAAGTTGTGGGGAACGGTTATGTCACCCTCGAACCCAGAAAGAAAAGTCTGTCGCTGTGGTGACAGATCTAAAGAGGTGCGAGATTTATTTTAACCATGTCGTAATTATAGTCATTTGAACATTGAATAAATAGCATAGACATATATTCGTTAGGGAAAAATCTCACTAGTGAACATTTTCTAATTTTTTACTTTCTCACCGTATTCTAATTGGAGAGGGTAAAACGAGAGGTCTTTCGATATTTTATTGTTTCTTTAATTTTTTTAGCCATATCCCATTTTTACTTGCAAAAATTTCCACCCAAAGAAAAATTCAGTTTTTTCTCTTGGTGAAATTTCTCACAAAAGTGAGAATGTGAAAAATTCACTGTGAAATATTTTTTCGAAATTAATGGCGAGTGATCAAATATTAATATTCCGTTTTGGTTTTGAAAGATGGCCAATATTCCAATTGTAGCAATATATAATTTCTCAGATTAACAACCTTCACTTCCCATGATTAATTTTCAAAGCATTTTTTTTCAACATTCCAAACAAGCAAATTAACTCTTATCAATCGATTTTTTTGGTTTCCTGCATAAAATATAATTAAATTAATAAATATATCAGTTGTATTGCTGATAACAAAATTTTTAAAATTATTTTTGAATGAACCAAAATTAAATAAATAAATTCTGTATTTCTTATTATATATTTTTATTTATTATTATAGAGCTGCTGATTGGAATTTGGGTGAACCAACATGGACCGGACGCATGCGTTTGGCTGCCAAGGGTACATCCTTGAATCTTAAACTAGAAGATAAAACAACTGGTGCTCTCTTTGCTAATTGTCCCATCGATACATATCCGGGTGTGGCCATTGAATCGGTATCGGATAGTTCACGTTATTTTGTAATTAGGGTTCAAGATGATAATGGTAAATAAAAACATTCATATTATTAACATTATTTAACAAAATTTAACTTCTGTTTACTTCCAGGACGTTCCGCTTTCCTTGGCTTAGGTTTTGGTGATCGTTCCGATTCGTTTGATTTAAATGTTGCCCTACAGGATCATTTTAAATGGGTGAAAAATCAAGAACAAATCGAAAAAGAAAAAACTCAACCAAAACAGGAATTAGATTTAGGTTTTAAGGAGGGTGAAACAATTAAAATTAATATGAGAATAACGGTAAGCTGCAGGCGGAAAAAAATTTGAATTACAATCGACAAATAAAGTTATTTGAATTTAATTTTAAATTTCCAGAAAAAAGATGGCTCTGAAGGTACCAGTCGTACAAAAGCTAAAACTGGTACTGGCATTTTACCACCACCTCCAGGCGGTTTAGGTAAAATAGCACCACCACCATCTGGTGCCAGTACAGTACGTCAAAGTCCGGGTACCTCACCAGCTCATAGGGTATCTGGCAATGCCACGGAATGGACAGATTATGCCTCAGCTGGGTAAGTTAAATGTCTCTAGCTTTATATTAAAACTATGGCGGTAATATGGGAGAATGTAAAAAGAGTTTTTTGTCCTACAACCATAATGTTAAGTGTATATAAATTTTGCAAATATTCACCGGTGAGCCCATGAAGTATATATATTTTTCATAAGTATGAAATTTAAATATGTCCGTCTGCTTGTTGAAATCAATATAGAACTCGCAATATTAAAGATAGAGCTTTGAAAACTTGCACACACTATGATTAGGGTGTTTAGTATTGACGATAAAATATTTGGAGATTTTGCAAATCCTAGCCTAACAAAACTTGCTACCAACTTTATTCAATCCACGGCGGCTGGCTCTATGTACCCGGAGCTTGGGCCTGCAATGTTTGTCAGAACCACCAAAGATCCATATCGGTGAGATGCAATGTAGATAATGGGGACATTTTCGAGTTTGCTCAGATCCAAGAGATTCTTTCTGCACTATCACGTCTTCCAGCGTGTCTCAGAATACGGGACTCCCCTCAATCCTCTCAGCAGCACTTAACACTATATATTGCTGTTTCGCAACTAGAAAATACATCGTTCTTGCAGTTCTGTCCAGTACAGATCTATCTCGTTTGAGGTAAACTCTTGTGACCCATACATTGAATGTTGGGGGTTAGCAGTCAAGTGTGGAACTGGTGAGGTAAAGGTGATAAATGTTTATATACCACAAATAAACAGCTGTACACCGTTTTATTTATCGGATATCAGTCCATTTTTAAAAGGTAAAAACCGCCTGGTACTAGGGGATTTCACCTTCCTATCATCGTGATTGGTAAACTCTCTGAAACCAGGCCAATCAGCTTTCCCATGGTTCAGGGAAGAACGCATTCACCGTCAACAGACCACCCGACAGAGTACTGAATTAGGTTCTGATTAATATATGCCAAGTTTTGTCGGAATCGGTTCAGATTTAGATATATCTCCCATATATAGTTTCGTCCGATTTTATGTAAATGACAGTCTCTGTTCGACCTATATTCACGAAATTTAGCAGCGGGCATGAAATTTAGACTAGAATGCTTTTTGTTAAGTTTGAAATCGGTTCAGATATGTCTATTCTATCTAAAGGACATTGTACATATGAGCATCTATTGTGTGTTTACCAAAGTGGTGAAGGGTATCATATAGTCGACCCCGTCTGACTTTTGTACTTTCTTACTGGTTTAACCGATATTTTTAATTTGATATGTTGGGTTTCCATTAAGTGGTTTTAATTTGATATTTCAATACCTTGGTTTGTAAACATCTTCACAGAAATTTTTCAATAAATGTCCACGTCATGTTCTGTCCTGTTCAAGATCCTAAACCGATTTTACAAACATTTATTTTATTTTTCATTCCATTTTACAGCTCTACGCCAGCTCAAAATCAACAACAACAACAAAGCTCATCAAATGCTAACTGGGTGCAATTTTAATTCTTAGCCTAAAAAACGCATGTGTTTTGTATTGGAAAAAATAGAGAAGACAGAGTATGAGACGGAGAAACAAAACAGAGTTTATTATTAATAAATAATTGCTAGAAAAAATAAAAATATATATAATATGAAAACATAACAACAAGAACATTCGAAGAGGACACAATACGAATTATATTATAATCAGAAAGGAAACAAAAAAATAAATAAAAATAAAAAAGTTATAATATAAATACAATATATACATTAAATATAATAAATTTAATTTGCAAAACAAAAAATATATACATATGAGAAAAAAAAAACAAATTTAGTTATAAGAAAAATAACAAATTAAATTAATGCAAAAACAAAAAATATGTTGTTAATTTCTTTACAAAACAAAAATAATTTAATATTCGTTCCACAAGAAAACTGTATTATCAAAATGAAATATCTAAAAGTAATTTGTTTTTTAATTTTGGAAATTAAAAACGTTTTTAGCTAACCATTCCCTCATTGCCCCGAAACTCTAGTATATGCAGCTGCCTGCTCCCTCCCACCTTACCACCAAAAACAAAAAAAAAAAACATATACACCACTCTACTGGTTTTGTGAAAGCTAATAAACTTCATTGCAGTAGACGGAAAAACAACAGAGCTCTAGTGTGAAGAAGGCAATATTATTCAAAATTATTACTAATTATAATAATAACAACAAACAACAATTTACAAAATTTGCTTAAATGTTTACCATATTTAGATTTATTATGATAATAAAAATAACAAAAAATATTAAACCAACAATATTTATGTACAATGTTGCAAGGAAACAAATAAAATAAAAAATAAAACAAATGTATGTATGTATCATTTTACATTGTTATCTCAGTTTATCTACTTTGTATCTCTATATACCAGTATATTTTACAAACAAAAAATAATGAAAGAAGAATACTATTAATGTAATATGCAAAAAGTAAAGATAATTTGTTTTTATTTTCCTTTTTTAATTTATATTATGTAAAATAATTGTATGTACTTATTTACAAACAACAAACACATACACATACAAACTAAAAAAATAACACCTCAAAACAAATCTATACTATTACTATTACAACAGCATACTATTACTACTACAACTACTATATAAACATTGTTTTCCACTTTGCCGGTTATGTTTTTAAACAATTTTATTTTTATATGTTTTTTTCCATAAACAGTAGCTTAAATTTATAGTAAAAAAATGTTTTTTTTTTTAAATTTTTAATCCGTTTTTTTCTTTAGATGCATATATGTAAATTCGAATTATATTTGCGTGTTTTTTTGTTTTTCAACATTCCTTTATTGAAACAGTAAATAGAAATTTAAGTTTTTATTATTATGTGAATTTTATTTTAAATTGAAACAATATAATAAAACATGATTATTCTAGATTACTTTTATTATAATAATTATTATTGAAATTTAATAAAGTTAATCAGTATAATTATATAAATATTTTATTATTTTCAGTTTTTCAAAAAAATATAATAAATTCCATAAAAAAAAGAAAATGTGTTTTTCAAGGGCGTGACTTTTTTTAATACTGTTTCTCAGACAGGTTTGGATTTTTTAAAGAATATTTTTTCAAGGACTCACATAAGGCGTGGATTTTTTAAAGAATATTTTTTCAAGGACTCACATAAGGCGTGGATTTTTTAAAGAATATTTTTTCAAGGACTCACATAAGGCGTGGATTTTTTAAAGAATATTTTTTCAAGGACTCACATAAGGCGTGGATTTTTTAAAGAATATTTTTTCAAGGACTCACATAAGGCGTGGATTTTTAAAGAATATTTTTTCAAGGACTCACACAAGGCGTGGATTTATTAAAGAATATTTTTTCAAGGACTCACATAAGGCGTGGATTTTTTAAAGAATATTTTTTCAAGGACTCACATAAGGCGTGGATTTTTTAAAGAATATTTTTTCAAGGACTCACATAAGGCGTGGATTTTTTAAAGAATATTTTTTCAAGGACTCACATAAGGCGTGGATTTTTTAAAGAATATTTTTTCAAGGACTCACATAAGGCGTGGATTTTTTAAAGAATATTTTTTCAAGGACTCACAAAAGGCGTGGATTTTTTAAAGAATATTTTTTCAAGGACTTACATAAGGCGTGGATTTTTTAAAGACTATTTTTTCAAGGACTCACATAAGGCGTGGATTTTTTAAAGACTATTTTTTCAAGGACTCACATAAGGCGTGGATTTTTTAAAGACTATTTTTTCAAGGACTCAGGAAGGCGGACGGACTTTCTTAGAGAATATATTTTCCATAACTCAACTAATATTGTGTGCTTGGAGATCTTTTAGCATTCAATAGTGACTGTAATTTGGTATTTCGTTGTCTCTGAACGATCAGTTCCAATATAGGTTTTATAGAGGCTAAGAAAGGTTCGGCCCGGCCGAACATTACGTCTACTTTAAATTTGTTTTTGTAGATTCCACATTCCCTTAAATACAACACGACTACGGCGGCAATAAAAAACATTTGTCACAAACTTTGGACTTACGTACGTAAGCAACGTAACGCCGCCAATACAATCAGTTTGGCTCGTTTCTCATTTAATCTCCATTCCATCTCATTCGTAAACAATTCTGTTCTCATTTAGTCTCCATCTCAGCTCATTCGTAAATTTTCGCTTATACCACTTTGACTTTTTCTTTATCGACCATTTTATCTTCTCCTCCCATTCGTTAGCAGGTGGAACGTTTTTCAATTTGTCTTCAGTCGGTGAACATACGTACGTGTAAATTGATTGTTTTGGATAATTATTTTTAATTTTGTCATTTAAATTACAAACAATTCAAGACACCAAAAAACCCTCCAATCAGAACATAACACCTGCCATTGGCTACGATGTACACACTGCTACACGGTTTCTATAAATATCTGACACAAAAAGATGAATATTGTGTTGTTATATTGGGTCTGGACAATGCTGGAAAGACGGTACGTAGAATGGAAGGTTGTGTCATGATGATGTTATTTTATTTTTATTTTCTGTTCTTCCCAGACATATTTGGAGGCTGCCAAAACGAAATTCACAAAAAACTATAAGGGCATGAATCCGGGCAAAATTACAACAACAGTTGGTCTCAACATTGGCACGATAGATGTACAAGGTGTACGTTTGAATTTCTGGGATTTAGGTGGCCAACATGAATTACAATCCTTATGGGATAAATACTATCAAGAATCACATGCTGTAATCTATGTTATCGACTCAAATGATCGTGATCGGATGGAAGAATCGAAAGTGATTTTTGGTAAGTGGAGCTTTTTTATTTAGATGTTTGGGGTTTTGGGGTATATATGATGTCATTTATTTTTAAATACAAAAAAAATTTGTTAGTGAAAGTAGTTTGGGGGAACCGTGGGCGTTGATTTTACTTTGTAGAAATTATGGATTTTTTATACTTATTTTTATTGAAGGAATTACTTAGTGAGTTGGCCTAACAGTTGAATGTAAATTTTAGTTCAAAATATCGATATAATTAAATCTAGAAGTATTATTATTTTTTGAATGAGGGTGTAGTCGCAAAATAAATTATATACACCGAAGACACGTAAATTGAAACAGGGAGTTCTCCAGGGTGGTGTGATGACTCTAGAACAGTTCAAACACTACCTTTCTGATATTCCAAAACCACCAGACGGAATAGAGATTGTAATGTATGCTGATGGTTGTAATATCATCACGTCTGGTCCCTATATATATAAGAATACTGAGATTACATTTGAGGAATATGAAAATCCACAGTCCAACACTGAATCGCAGGACGGCTTACTACTATTTGCGATAGGATGACAAGTACGAACAAATTCTTCAAGAGGTTGGCCGAAAACACCTGGTCAAGAGACTTTGGTGACATCTTATAAAGCAATAGACCGTTCAGCGGTAAGGTATGCGGCGATTTGCGAAGGCAACTCAGTGGAAGAGCCATGAGTTCAGCGGTAAACTATGCGATGATTTGCGAAGATAATTCAATGGAAGAGCTATACGGCTGTCCTGTGAACTGCAACAGGATGTTGCTCTCTTGACATAAATCCATCATGAGGGGGCGATGGTCTTAGCCGAACATCGACACCTTATTAATAGAATTCCCAGACCCTGGCAGGTATGGAGAGACCTACACGATCTTGAGAGAGGGAGAAGTCCAAAGATTAAAGAGAGAACCCCTAGTGGCTTATCTCTAGTTTAGTAATTTGCCCTTTCTAAAATGGTAGCCTCGGACCAACTGTGGAACTTGAGAGCTACAGCTTCGAGGTAGTCAAAAATTTTATATACCTTGGTACCGCCATAAATAAAACGAATGACATCAGTTTTGAAATTTGGAGAAGGATAGTGTTGGCCAACAGATGCTACTATGGTCTGAGCAAACAACTCAAAAGCAAGGCCACCTCCCGCCAGACCAAATTCACACACTACAAGACGCTGATACTACCCGTGCTATTATACGGATCTGAAGCATGGGTACTTACGCAAGCAGATGAGGCAGCTCTTGGAGTGTTCGAGAGACAAATTCTCCGAAAGATCTACGGACCGATCTGCGTTGACGCTATTCTCGGACATCGACATTGTTAGACGTATTGAGCTGCAGCGACTACGTTGGCTAGGTCATGTTGTGAGAATGGATGAAGATGCCCCAGCCCAATAGGCATATAAAAGCGAATCAGCTGATGGTTCACGCAGAAGGGGAATGCCACGAATAAGATGGAAAGATCAAGTGGAAGACAACATTGCCGAATATGATCTTTCAAACTGGGTAAAAGACCGACGCGCCTGAAAATCTTTTTTAAGAGTTGTTCCCCCCTAAATAAGAAACGAACAACAATTACACAGAAGAATTGACCCAGTCTATGGACCAATACTTCGACAATGCAGTTCTTGAAGTCCATTCACCACCTATAGTAGCAGAAGAACTACAGTTATCCAGGCTAGAGATAAGTAAATTAACTAATCGATTAATCGACTTTTTGTATTGAAAAGTCTAAAAGTCGAAGTCGTCTTGTAATCTTTGACGAAACCACAAAGTCGACTTTTGAAGAAAGAATTTCGAGTGTTATGACCACATGTTAAATTTTGTTTCGATCTGGAAACTCCTTCATATAGAAAGAGGAGTTCAAAAAAGACGCATCCTCAATTTTTTACAATGGAAAAATTAGAAATGTGTGTTTTGATTGTAAAAAAATGCGGAGGTGTATTTTATGAACACCTGTTTCTATATGAAGGAGATGGCAGATCGAAAAAAGTCCTAATTTTAAGACACCAAAAATTAGGCTTCTTTAGGCTAACCTTGTCTGAGTACTCTTTAATGTCTCTAGCTGTAGAATTCTTTAGTATCCTAGCTTGAGTACTTGTTAAGGTATTTTAAAATAGAATCGTTTTGTATCCTTGTTTCAGCACTAATTGAGGTCTCTTGTTATAGAATCAGGTTATATTAAGGATACGGATCATGACTACAGCTATAGTATTTATCCAGTTCATGATACGCATCCTGACTACAGCTAGAGTATTTATCCAGTTCTCTAACTCCCCTCCCAACCATTCTTATTGAAAAGGCTTCAGAAAAAAATATTTTTAATTTTTAGCGTGGGCTTTATATCAGATTTTTATTCGATATTCTCCAACCTATTTGACGATTATTTTCCAAACATTATGCACATACTCTAAAGGGGAATTGAATTGTGTGTACTTTGTTTACAAATATACACACAAGTCAACTTTCAGAATTCACACAATTTTGTTCCGATCAGAATGGGAAACTTGTGAAGAGTTTCGTTCCAAATTCGAAAAAAAACTCTGAACAAATATCTTTCTATCATTTTTTTGGGCTCGGTGTGTTATTTGGTATATTATAGATCATCTAAAATCTAAGAAATCATCTTTTATGGGCATTAGGTCTTACGTGACGATTGCAGTTCCCTTTTCAACCAGATACAACTTATGTATATATGTTTTCCTAATCCAAATTTAGATTAATAATAAGTAACCAACTTGCTTAGCTTGTTCATTTATTGTTTCCAAAACACTCTTAATATAACATAAAAAATACTTTTATCTCTTCTTGTTCTCAGATAAAATGATTAAAAATGATCTGTTATCTGGTGTACCGCTACTCATATTGGCAAATAAACAAGATTTACCTGATGTTATGGGTGTTCGTGATATCAAACCAGTGTTCCAACAAGCCGGTGGTTTTATAGGACGACGTGATTGTCTAACAATACCAGTATCAGCATTAACGGGGTTGGTATTTTTAAAATAAAATATAAACTATATGATATTGTCAATATTTAAATGTATTTTATTTACAGGGAAGGTATTGATGAAGGTATTAAATGGTTAGTGGATGCCATAAAACGACATTCGATTGTGCGGCCACCACGTGTAAATGACTGATAATTGTATACATTTTTACTAAATGACAATTATGTAGTTCATAGGTATATCGAGTGTTTTTTTCTATAAGAAAAATCCAACTAAAATCAATTCCAAGATTTATTTTTTATTTAAAAAAATTTCTACTAATTTCTTTCTCATCTAGTTTTTGTAAATAGTTAAAAATAATAATTATATATATTTAAAAAAACGAAAAGAAAACTATTTATAACGTATATACAAAAAATATATAAATTAAATTATATAAATGTAAGTTTAATAAAACGTGATTTCAGGGTTGACAAAAAAACATACACATGTATTCCTTAATAAAGATAAAACAAAACTTTTTCATTGAAAATTGTATTATTGTAATTATCTATTTTACCCCCATGAATTTGTTACCTTGTCTATTTTCCCCATTTTACAAATAACTATTGTTTATTTAACAAAAAAACATTCAGTTTTGATATACTAACTCAACAGAATATGCCAATCGTCTAAAATATATAAAGTCCTCTACCAAATAGTTTACAGAGCGTTATAATAATTAAAGTAATTCTTATCATTCCAACGTTTATTAGTAAGCGACGCATTCATTCTTACTGATAAGAAGACGACGTTTTTTAATTATTTACACTACGTCCTACAAGATTGCCACACAATGTTTAATTGCATTTCTAAGGTTATTCCAATTTTTATGCATTTACATTATTATCTGTCATGATTATTGAAATGTTTTATATTTAATATAGACAGCATGAATTTGGAATATCAGGGAATAGAAAAATCAATAAATGTGGCGATCGGACAATCCACCTCTGGGCAATTGAGACTGATATTGGGAACCCTTTATTTGATTCCGGCTCCTTTTGTATATGTATTTGTTTACTCATAACTCCGATAGACCACTGAAATGAGACCATGAAGATCTTTCCTGTGCGTGGGGACGTTCAAAAACAGGCATACAGTAACACCAATCAGAGGTAAGTCAACCAATTTTACGATATCCAAGAAGCCCTTCCTAGAGTCTTTATACGGATATGCTATTTCAAAAATATCATGGAATCCTTTCGAATCCTTGGTTGAGTACTTCTTATTATCCTTGCTTGAGTACTTATTAAGGCCTATTACCATAGCATCCGTTCGCAAAACTACTTCACTTAGCTCGCTTTTCATCGGATTTGTTGCCTCTTCGTAAACAATCAGTTGGCTCGAAACAAAATTTAACATATGTTCATAACAGAAATGGAATTTTCAAAAACACTTAACTTTTTTCTGTCGATACCGCGCTTTTTGTGCTAGGCTAAGAACTTTCCGAAATGCCCTCATAAATAGAATCTATCTAAATGTTTGTTGTATATTTTGCATTATTTTGGTTGAGACTCCTCTGTTCCCAGGTTAAGGAACACACGCTGGGCATGTTCAGCCCAATACGAATTGAGACGGCTGCACCCACCTGAGCTAAAACACTATCGTCGTTGTCTTTTCTTCTGCTGCTATAGGTGGCGGCTGTTCGATAATCCTGTTGATCTAGGAGTTCTCTTCTATACCGTTGGACCTCTGTCTCTAGATCATGTAGGTCTCTCCTTAGATGCCTGGGTGGGGAAATTCTATCCATAAGATGATGACATGGATGATTCCGGCGATAAGACCCAAGCAGGTACTGCATAGACAACATCCTGTTGTGACGATGTACGGGTGACCATTGGCTCCTCATGTTAATGATCCACTGCTGTCATAAGGAGGCACCCTGTCGCAGTTCTCAGGGCGGCATTCTAAAAGGTTTGAATGTTCTTCCATTCGCGAACCACACTGGCGCCGCGTAGCTTACCACCGTCAACAATGCAAGCGACTTGAGGACCTGTTCCTGCTTCTCATCTTATAGCAAATACCGGTGGCTTGCTCGAACGACTTAAAATAGCTATCGAATCGGAATTAGTCGGCATTAGTGCACCGTCGACCATGATGTTCAGCGGGAGCGTCATTTCAGCCGTCCATGTGCTGGCTGAGAGTTTACTTACTTACTGAGCTCTCTTGCCGTAAAATCTTTTCGTCGTTTTTGTTTAAATACCCGTAGCCAAAATCTAGATGTGAAAATTCATATACTGGCCATAGCTAAGGTATCTAACTCCCAAACATGTTGTTACTTCTATCGCCAAGAGTACTTAACCAGGACTCACAGACAGATGAGTAGCCGTGTTTAATAATAACTCCTAGTATAAAAATTTACGCCCAAGCACGTCAGAAACAATCTTCACGATCCTGATAGAGGCTTATCAAGCAGAGTTGCATTGTATCCACACTGATGCAGGTGATGAAGCAAAACGATAAAAACAAAAAACGCTATTGCAAACATAAATTTACTGTAAAATAGCATTTCGGGAGGCCAACGTCTGTCATCCCTGCCCATTGTGGGGTCTAAAATCCTAAACGACTCGAGTCTTACTTTGCCAACTAGTCACTCCAGCCAATGGTGTAAAAGCAAAAGGACTGCTACAACATGAACCCATTTTCAAAAAAAAGAAAAAATGGGTGCTGCTTCAGACATTTCCGGGAATATGAAATGGTCCACATGATAGGCTACATACATATATTTTATGGACCATCCAAATTCCACTCCCTAAACCCTCCTTCTTTAACATATATTTTAACAGTGGTAGATCTACGGACCTGCTTCTCCGAAGTAGCTTTCATAGTATTACATTTCCGGGGAAATGCTCTGGGGTGTGTGGGAAAAATCAACTAAACCTACCCCTATTCGTTCCACCTTCATAGATATATAACCAACTGATCTTGTGGAATGTACTGTAATTAAAACTGACATGCTACTGATTTTTGTGCTCACCTGTATTTACACATTTAACAGTGTTGAAATAATAATATCAACTCTCTTATCCTCTCCCATTTATAGTGTTGTTGGTGTGTTTTTTTCACTTTACTCCAGATAGATAAGAATTTCCGTGTGTATGTTTTTTTGGAAAATAATTCTGAGAGTTTCCATTTCGTGGATTGTTAAGGTGTGAAATAGTCGGTATTTTTTGTTTTGTATTTTCAAATACGGTTTTAACGGATTTTAAACTCAGCTCCACAATCGGAATTCTAATTTTAAAGAAAAAACTTTTAAATTAATAACGCAATGAATGTAACAAATCAATAACAGAATAAATTAATTTTAGTGAATCAACCAGAAATTGAAATTGAGTCCATCCGAAAAAGATAACAAAAAAGCAGGTGTTATCAGAAGAATTCTACGTATGTGAGCCTGAAAAAAAAAACAAAAAATAAACGAAACCAAAGAAAGTTGTATCAGTTTGGTGTGATATTGTGTAAATAATTATTTTTGGTTTTAAATATTTATTACATTCAAGTACAAAATAGTGAAAAAAAAACGTGTCATCATATTTGTCATTCCAGAAGTTACTACTGTAACAAATTCTTATTTTAAAAATAAAAATCAAAAAAGGGCTATAAATATTGACAAAAATGTATCCATATTATGAACAAGACTGGAGTGTATTGCCGCCCGATAACAATCGAAGGTGAGTTAGTTATTTTGTGGTTGTTTGAATATTAATACACCTTTTACCCACAACATCATCTCGTAAATAAGTTATACACGATATGCTCTCATTAAGTATGTTTAAATTATGTATTTTGACTAGGAAACTTAAGTTTATAGGCTGTATTTATTATTATAAACTGTACACAAAATCTGGCAACAATTTCATATTAATTAAGAAAAAAACAGTTAAGATTTTGGAATATATAATATAAAATTATTTAATAACCTGTCTTCATATTCTAAGGCGAAATTTAATATTTATACTGCTTTAATACTTATTTAATGTATCTTCCTGTAGAGTACTATACTACCAATGTTTTGGTATTTATTAAAGTCACCAGCTGTAGATCCTGTAGTATACTATATAATATTAAATTAATATTAATATTCAAAGTATATTTTGGTTTAAGAGCGAAATTCGAAGTTTTTATTTAATAAAAATTCTCGTTTGAGTACTTATGCGGTTGTCCTGCCGTTGAATCCTTTCGTATCCCCGCTTGAATACTTATTTAAAATATGTCCCCTGATTCATATTCCTGCTTTATTATTTACTACCATACCGTTAGCGATCATAATCATAATTAAAATTTGAATACGTATCTTTTTTTTAGTACGTAATTCGAAAACTACCTCCATATCTCAACACTATACACCAATACTGGCCGCAACAGAAATCTAGCCCTATACTATGAGGCCAGTTCGGAAAGTTCTTGGCCTAGCATTGCGCTTTTTGTGCTATGATAAGAACTTTCCGAACTGCCCTCGTAAATTTGGTATCATTTATTACCCTTGTAATAAATATTTCCAAAAAACAATTCAAATTTCAAAAATAGGTTCCCCAAACCAAAATTTAGCACCAGTTAGAACACATTAATATAAATTTTCAATTCAATTCAATTTTATTTAACTTGTAATTCAAAGCCTTCAGGCCCATTAAAGATAAATTACAAAATGCATATGATATGCTTAACCTAATAAAGGATAAACTACCCCAAAAAAATAACAATAAAAATTCAAAAAATTAAAACATAAATTCATACAATCGTAAATACCATAATAAAAACTACTCCTACACAATCTAACATAATTAAATTAAGTTAGAGAAAAATATATAATAAATGCAAAACAACATTAAAACTAACAATATAAAGATATTAACAATATATAAATATATATATATATATATATATATTACATATTAACAGAATAAATAAAAAAAATATTAAGTGCACTTCCAGAAACTTACACAAATTAAAATAATAGGCACAAAGCTCAAGAACAAACAGGTGAAACCACCAAAATATAAATCTATTATTTTCCAAAGGTCAACTCCAACAGGAATTGATACAAAAAAGCATCAATTAATATCACCAGAAAATATCTGATACAACAATTTTGAAAAAATATTTACAGAGACGCTAAAATTTCTCAAATAAATAGGAAACAGGTTAAATATTCTGGCTGTTCTAACCACAAAAGAATTTGTCATAAGAAGAGAAGCATTAGGAACAGACAATTGATTAAGTCGCGTAGAGTGCAAAAAACGAAACGATTGAAATAGGAACATAGGCGATTGAGCTTTCATCATTTTGAAAAAGAACAACATTAAACGTATTTTAATAAAGTCATGAAATAAAACCCCAAGGAATCTCATAACATACGGCGTTACATGCGCACGATTATTCAAATTATAAACATAACGAACAGTCCTGTTTACCGCCAACTGAACAAAATGTAAAATAAAATGCGAAGTACCGGAATAAATCTCCAAGCCATATAAAATCATTGGCATTATTAACGCCCGAGCCAACCTCAACCTCACTTCTAGGGGAAGAATCAAATCGGAGTTATAAAGACACCTCAAAGAAAAATTTATTTTTGCCACCAATAAACAAACGTGTTTTTCAAACGAAAGGCGGTCATCTAAAACAACGCCAAGGCAATCCAGCTGATTCACGAACTGAATGCTTGTACCATCATACGAGACACTAATATTAAAATTTCTATTGCGGGAAAAACAAATTGCCTTTGTTTTTCATAAAAACCTCTCACAATTCCAAATATCAGGATTCCCGCCCTATCGGTTCACCTATATTCAAAAATTTATCAAATTTAGTACCATTTAGAACACATAAGTTCAAAATCTCCGTTACTACACATCATCCAATCCAATAGAAATCTTTTTATCCAATTTCAGGATTCCAGCTCTATCGGCTCGCTCTAACTTCCTGCCAAATTATAAGATTCTAGCTCTATCGGCTCAATTAAAATTCAAATTGTACAAAATTTAGTAAACCTTAGAATTTCAATCCTACGCATTTAATATTTTTGCTATTCCAGATTGTATCGAATTGTGTACCATTTAGTACCAATAAGTTCAAATTGCCAAACCTACATCCATATTCCGAATCCTACATGCCAACAATAATCTTATTTCCAAATTTCAGTTAAACTTTACAAAATTTAGTACAATTTAGTGATCCTAAATCAAAATTTCAGGATTCCAGATCTATTGATTCGCTCAAAATTAAATTGTATTAAATTTAGTACACATAAGTACCAATTTCCCAATACAAATTGTACCAAATATGGTACCATTCGTACACATAAGTACAAATTCCAAACAAAACTACCTACATATCGTTATCCTACACTCCGACGGTAATATTAATTTCAGAATGCCTACTTCATCCCTTTCTTCAAATTAAAATTGTACCAAATTTAGTACAGGTTAGTACTTTTCGTATACATTAGTATCGTACTCAAAACCACCTCATTATATCCACCTTAATTGGCATTCTAAATATCAAGTTTTTAGCTCTATCCATTCACATGCTACGAAATTGAACCAACTTTAGTACATTTCGAATACTTATAGTTTGAATGTCCCAAAATGTC